CTCTTGCCACGCATAGCTTTGATGGAAATGGTAAATCTTACGGGACTACCTCAGAAGTTGTTCTGAGACTTGGACACGTGCTTCTCAGTATGTACAGCTTGTATAAATACATGAAATGTGAAAGACAAGAGTCACTATGCCCAGTTACCTTGGGACTACGGAATCTCCCTGAACAGCATCCCCTAATAAGGAAAGTAGTGGAAGATCTATTTATTTCTGGCTTGGAACACACTACCATGGTCATCTCTGTCTCCCACAACAAGGTGTGCTCTCTTTTGGCCATTCAGTCCATCTGCCTCAAGGTATTCCGGTGTGCCTCTAATTGGAAAAGCTAGACTTCACAAAAACCAGCTGCTGCAGCGTGGGTGCTTTTTCCAAAAGCAGCAGCAGATGTAGTAGCTGCTAAAGCAGAAAGATACAAAACCATCTGCATTTTGAGCAATTGCTTTGAAAACTTGAGCTGAGCAACTGATGGGTGGATTGCTGATGTTTGATCTAACTTCTGCCTGAACTCGACCAGGCCAGCCTATATAGGAAATCAAAAGCTTTCCATTCATTTCTGCTTTATACAAGACCTACATAGCTCTGGGTTTCATAACTAGACATGTAGCCTCTTCTGGTTCATCAGTTTGAAGCTCTCCTACTGTTAGATCATATGACCAAACGGTTTATCTGAGGTCTCAGTGCTGTCTATAGCAGTCATAGCACCAGTGGTAGGGGCCACGTCTCCCCACCACCCAAATGTATCCTTTTTTTAACACTGTTCTCTGTCAACTTCGATATTTTTGATGAGGTAGGATTACAAATGAGCAATTCGTAATTAAAAAATACAAAGCATTGCAGACTGATCAGCCAAACGTTAAATAACACTAGCAGATACAACATCCCTCTTATATAACCAGAGATATAATGATGAGGTTTAGAACAGAACCATAACAGGGAAAAGGGAGCCTCTAAAGACAAGGAACCCAAATGGATTGATATTTGTGCTGTAGGACTCAAAACTTCACCAAAAATCAAGACACCGTTCCCCCAAAAAAGATTAAATCAGTCTTAAAATTTTAGCATATACTGAAGTAAACAAAACAGAAGCTTATGAAGTGACATGGTTGAAACTACACTATGACTTGGAATTCTACATAAACAGTTACCACACCCCACCACACGAACCTGGTAAAAATCTCTTCAATGCAGTACTATAATACTCAAACCTCTGGAGAATGCTTTTTATAGGGACTAAACTCTGTACTTGCATTCTGAATCAGTCTCCACAGAATTCACCTGACAGCCTACAGTGCTCATGGGGTACCTACGAGCTACTGGGAGCTGTGACCACTTAAAGTGCTGCCCAGACTTTTTCCTTATTCTTTTTCTTTTATAAGGATTAAATTAAGCTTAACAGAAAACTATGCATAAATTATCCCTTCTGAATAACAAGTTGGTATGAAAGATAGGATGTGATCTCTGTGCCATGTCAAATACAGTAGATGCTAGGAAGAAAGAGTTCAAGATTGCCATCAGGCAGTTATTTGAAGTATGAACTGAATACAAATGTAAGTTAGTCACGATATTCAAGCACAAGGCCTTGGTCAGGGATCACTTGTGTACTATGTGAGTGCTGCATTCCGGTGCATCTCCTTCCTGAAGAAAAGCCTCATGGCTACAGTATCATTTATAAATGTCACAAATCCTGAGAATTAAAGTAATCTTTTTTCCACTTTACCTCCGTTTACTTGAGACTCTCCAAAACAGAGATAAAAATAAAAATCTAAGCTGGATTTACAATGAACTCATTAGCAAGAAACTGGGAATGCTGAAGTTGTCTGGGGTTTGGAAATTGGGGCTATTTCTGATCTGGGACTGGAAAAGCCAAACTGCTGTTACTGATGGATTAACCCGCAAAATGCTGCAAGATACAGAATTTAACTTGGGAAAAATTCATTACAGAAAGACGGAAAAACAGAACTGAAGGGCAAAGCAGGGCAATGAGATAGCAAAGTCCAAAACCAAAAGGTAGGCAGGATTTGCATCAGCAAGGGAACCAGTGTTTTTGATTTAGGGCTAATGCACTGGGGTCTTTCCTCAGCAAATTATGGTCTATGTGCTAAGCTAAGGAGGGAATGCACCCCAGAAGATAAGGGTATCAAGTCTCTCACTAAAAGGTACCGAAAAAATTGTGTGGGGAATGGCCTCTATATTATTCTCTGGGGGAGCAGTGCTCTCCTGATGGAGTAATGTACCCAGATCCAACTGGAAACACGTTTTAGATAAAGGCAGTTATCATACGTAGTTCATGTGCAGGCACGGATGATGCTTTCAACAGAGAAAAGCTTGGAGGGAGGAAGCAGATAAAACACTAGGATGTGGACTGAAGTAGAACATTTTGTAATGTGTTCTGCAGTAAGGAAAACTGCAGGAAGAAAAGCAACAAATGCATTCCTTGGCACGGCATCACTTGCTGTTTAAGCCAGACAGACAGATGTGGTAGGGGTAAGGGGAGAAGAGGGATTTTTCTGGCTTCGCTTTATAAATAAATCACTGTTCTTGAATCCAGAAGACGTTTTCTCGGACCGCTGTAATGTATGTAACTCTTTTAGCCTGTTATCACGTGCTTGGCAAATTTGTCTTCTTGTTTATTCCTGTGAAAATAATGGTTTCCTCCTCCTTTTCCTCTCAAACACTCACCCCACACTGTTGAGCAAATCCTCTTTCCCCTGTCACTTCCCATCTGAGCAGCGGGCCCCTGTTAGCAGCAAGCTCATGTCCCTCTCACACCTCGCTTTCGTTAATGCTCTACTGGTCTTTTTTAGAAAAGCATGTGAGTTAGTAGTTCCTGCAGTGCTGCTTTTGATACAAGATTTGAAGTCTGCTGACTACTGCTGCAACAGCTTTCTGGGAACAGATGTAAAAGCCTATGGTACCACAGTGCTGTCGAGAGATTAAAGTTGATGCTTATGCACTCTAGAGCCAAAGCCATCATCCACTGGTGACTGAAGGGTCAATTGTCACTACAATGCATACAAGGATTTTGTTCATATGAATGGGAGTAGTTCAGCTAAATCTCCACTGAATCATTATCCCTGCATGTATCTGAAGAATTTAAGCAGCACCCTTTGCAGCTTCTTGTTCGGTGTCTAAAGCACTAAGTCTAAGATGCAATGAGATTCTTGCTTAATCTTGCAGATAATACATTTCTGAAGTTTTGGTAATAGAGGATTATTGGGTTTGCACAAGGAAGAATTTTGCCTATAGCATTATCTCTGCAGATATAATTATGTATTTGGCAGCCTGCATTGTACATATTATTACACTGCCACATGGGCTACAGAAGGTTCACAGCTGTAGACACTGAACAGCACCTCTGTCAGAATTTCTGTGATTTTCAACACATTGAAGAACATGAGTAAGAGACATTATGCAGAAAGGCAGAAGAAAAAGGCACAAAATTAAGGCTCAGAACCATATGAAACCAATTCAAAGCTGTGACACACGCCCTCCTCTTTGAGATCAACTTCAGCAAACCTAGAATGCAAAACCTACACTGAAAGCAGCAAAACCCAACCAGCCTCCTGAATCCCTTCCCCAAATAAAGTCAGTTGCTTGCAAATGCAAACTCCCTTTTCAGGGAAGGAGGCATGGAAATTCTAGCTGCTACAGTTCTGCTGGTCAAAATACAGGACATAACTCAATACTGTGACAATAAATCATGAAATTTGTCTAAATAAAAAGCATTAAGCTTGAACTTACATGTTCTTCTGAAGCATAAAGGACTTCCATTAGCCGATTCACAAGGTCATTATTCTCTCCCCCGTGTTCTTGGCAGAGAAGTTCAATCTCCCTTAATTTGCCAAAGTAGAAATCCCTTTCCTTCTCTACGCCTTCAAGTGCAAGTTTTAACGAATGTACCTGCATATAAACCAAGAAACGATGCATCAGTTGAGGTGCACTAAAGACAAAATAACTCAGTCTACAATTATGCATGCTAAACAATCTTCAATATATATTCAATTTTACAGCTTAAAATGAAGTCCACTTTTTTCCTGAAGTGCTAGATTGAACCTTACACAATAGACAATAGTAAATCAGGCTTCCCCCATTATACCTCTTAGATACGTCTTAACCTTGATCCTTAAAGGTCAATTTTCTTGGTGCCTTTTTTCACTGAAACCTCAAAGCAGCAGTTCAGGAATTAGGGCTACTAACTATTCTAAGTCTTGTCTCCTAACAAGGCTGCCAGAAGTGTCATGTGATGGTAATTAATTAAGCTTCCAGCTCAGTACTTGCATTATTTTGCTGGATTAATGTGTAGTTGTTGGGAAACCTACAGTATTCTCCTTGCCTAATAGATCTAGCAGAGAAGCTTACTAAGCGAAACGGTCTAGTTAGGAAACTAAAAGATCCTCTAGTTGCAAATGTGAATAATGCTGTGTTGTTTTTTCACCTGTCCTTTTCTGCCCCCCACTTACCATACTGTTACAGACCCATGTTTTGGCATACTGATGCCATGACCGGCTGCACCATGGACGTTCTGATCCAATTCTCTCAAATGCCACATACCTTTCTCTTTGCAACCTTGTTCATAAGTCTTCAAGCTAAACTGTCAGTCTCAATTTCACCACTAGGACTGCCACAAATCATTTATGGGCAACATAGCTGTTAATGATTAGGCCTCCCATAATTCATGACAGATGTTGTAATATATTTATATATGTGCCCATATTTAAAGAACAATTTTGTGGGAGCATAACAGATAAACTACTGTCCACCAGGGCATGCACAATCAGGATAATGCAAGAGGCTTGCAAATTCAGAGGACAGCAATGTAACAACCAACTGAAATAATCACAGATGAAGCTGTCTACAGTAAACAAACTGACCCCAATCACATCCAAATTACAGTCAAATTAACATCCACATTTTAAGGCCTGCAATTATACAAATGATTTTCTAAATAAAACACGCTAAATAAATTAAATCTCATCAGACTACATTTCAGTGAACTGATACCATTTAATAGAATGTTCTGTGTTGCCAGTTTTACTGCAAGCTAATTTATTTCCTTCACTAGTGAAAATACCATCAGGGTTCAAACAATGCTTTGATAGCCTACTAAATCCTATCAGTTCAGTTCTCCGTAACTGCTGAGCTGGCGATGCCTTTTTCTGACCTTTGATTGCACTCTCAGAGGTGTCAGACAGCAGACAGGATCTCAGAGCATCTCATTCATGTACTAACCTGTATCTGACCAGCTGCCTGAGTGTGACACCAAGTCTTCCCTTAGCAGTTTGAATCTATGATTGATGCAATGACCTTAAAGTTAAATATTTCTTCATGAAAGTAGGAATAGCAAAATGGAATAAGAGTTCACAATATTTTGGCCTATAGACGAAGACCTCACATTTAAGATGTGACTTCTGGATCTGCAGCAACATATGCCTTGAGAGCGATGCCTGCATCCAAACAGAACAAGAACGTAACTGCTTCCAGATCTTTTACTCTGTGCTTGCTGGTGCTTGGGAAAACAATGAACTTCAGTTGAAACATTGGCAGTTAATTGCTCAGACCATCTCCACTACTGACTTACTTGCTATGAAGGCATTCTCCTGTTTTCATACTATCACATTCACCCCGTTTCAAGAAACAGAATCATTAAACTATACATATAGGCACATAGTGGATTAGCTCAGTATACAGGAAATGTTGTTATAACCAAAGCAGATATGCTTTTTTTTCAGTTACATATCAACTACCTGTCTGTGATGGATTAATTCGTTTTTCTGCACATACTTAGCACATCCACATCCTACTTTTTCCTTCTATGAACATGCCAAAAGGCCGATCCTGTATAAGCAACAGTGCACGTTAACTCCCATGCTCTGTTTCTGGACCAGAAGTACCCCTCTGCAATCCAGTTAACTGGTGAAAAGGCAGTAGCTCTTATTAACTGGTCTTTTCTCTGATTGGTCTTGTTGGTAGTATAAATACTCCATACTGCAGAACCAGGTTGAAGATTAAGCACATACATGCAGCCAGGTTGGAGCTGTTTTCAGAAACTGTTTGCATACTGTCATACAGTTAATGGTTCTTAGGACCATGGTCCATATGTAGAGGTCCCCTCTCCATACGTAAAGGTCCCTGGTCTGTGTCACCTCCTCAGCTGCACTCAGAAAAACTCATTGGGAAAGTGTCAGTTGGCACAGACCAAAACCTCAGCAGGGACCACTTTAGTATTTTAATGCTATGGGTAATCAAGCTCCAGTGCACAGTGACATTCCTTGGAAGTGTTCAGTTTATTAGCACAGACCAAGGCAATAGCTGAGACCATTTTAAGAGAAACTTTAAGATTTTGGGGAGCCATTAAACTAGCAAATGTTATGGACAGTTTACAATTATTGAAATAGCTCATTAAGCTACTCTATGATAAAATATAGCATATGGACATCCCCACTACTTAAATTTTTCCATTACAAATTGCATGGGAGTTCAGATGTTTCACTGTCCCTTAGCTGCCATTCACAAAAGGACTGAAAACAGAGTCTGTTACAGCCATACAGGAATTTGATGCCCACAGACACCACTCAGCATTTCTTACTCATAATCAATACAGCAGCTGGGTAAAAATCAAGACAGCAACTGGGTAGAAAGTGTCTGCTGCCCTCATCTCCCTGGTTGCTGGAGAGTGGTTAAAAATGGGCAATTTGGGTCTTCCAGCATGTTCAGACTGGGGCTCAGAAAAACCTGACTCAGAGCTGCTTGCAGCATAGTTTTTTTGGCTCCTGTTATATGCCCAGGGTGCACAAGTAACCATTAGTGGGAAATGAGATACCAAATGCTGCCAGCATTAAAAAGCCTTCTAGACCATTCTGCTAGAAGAGGTCTCTTAAAAACTAGCTATTAAAACACCAGCTTTCCAAATCCACAAAATTTCTTCTCTTCTTTGGTGATGAGGGAAATCATCAGTTTTCCCTCTGGGTTACTTGTATATAGAGCTTAAGGTTTTCACACATGGAACGTGTTAGGAATACATTAGCAGTGGATGTGACAGTGGCTGCCTGTTTTAGTAAAGATCAGATATTTTGCTGTTGCTCAGATTCAAACCAACCCTTCCTCCTGAAGTGAACTCATTCTGACTTCTGAGTACAAGTATCATGGTTTAAGTTGCATCAAGCTGACATTTGAACTCCACTCTTATATTGATTAAAAAGAAAAAAAGCTTCCATGAAACATATATACATCCATTCCTTGTGCAACATTTAGAAACTTGTCTGTTACAGAAAAGCACATTTGGAAGGCTGGTAGCCCCTGCTGTGCTTTCTGCTGCTCAGAATTTCACCCTGAATCCACAGGATGCTGTGTGTGGGATGTGGCCATCCATCCACCACCTTTAAGTGTGGAACAGTAACCAAGAATTTGCAAATGGTGCCCCAACAAACTGAAATCTTTGTTGTTTGGGTCAATGAAAGTCTGAGACTGAAACGCCCTTAATTGTGGAAAATTGCACTTGATCCAGAGTAATGACTTCTTCCTGAATGCAGCTGCCAAGCAGCTCAGACTCTAAAATAGGAGGTTTTTCCTTTCCATTTTCCCTCATGCAGGACAAATACAGGGATCAGACCTCATTTATACTAGTGGCATTTAAACTACTCCAACACCACAGTCTTGGGCCAGATGCAGGTTCATGTCTGGATGCATTTTTTCATGTCCAGTGCAGATACGGTTTGCATGTCCAGGAATGACACAGTGGTGTAAAGCTCCATAGCATAAATGAAAATTAAACTCTTGCATTCCTAACATTAAAGAAATTCTGAAGCTTTATCAGTTATATTATAGTGTTCTGCAATATAATTAAGTATTCTTACAAAGGTAGATCACATTTTTAAATTAAAAAGGCCTATTATGTTCTTAATGCCTCCCTTGCAGAAAGCAGAGTGCAATGAAGTAGTCTTGATTCAGCCATAAATCTCTAACACCTTGGTATTATCAACGGGCTTGTTTTCTCCACAATGACACATTGAGATGGTTTATTTCAAATTTGTAATACACAAGAACAAAGACACTATCAGGGTTTTTCCTATTCAAGTGAAAGAAAAGATACATTTTAACATCTAATAAAATTATCACACTTCAGCAAGACTCACCTGTCATTCCTAAGATGACCTTTAAAAAACCCTGGCAAACACCAGACATCTCTGTCAGATGTTATTTTTAACAATAAATCACTCTTACTGTTCTACCTTCCCAGCTGAGCTGTTTCAATCTTTTGTTCCCTTATAATTCTGGAGAGCATCATTCAACAGAGGGCAATATATTTCATGCCTGCCTGTGACAATGAATGCATCTAATTTTATGCCTAAAGCAAATTTACCTGTTCACTGAGCTGTATGACTTGGGTTTCCAAATCTTTATCCGATTTGGATGCTGAGCTGCTTGGTGCAGCTTTTTTTGCTGACGATGGGCGAGAAGGTGTTGATCCTGGTTTAGAAGCTGGACTGGATTTAGCAGCACCTGAAAAATGCAATAAATAATAAAGATTTCTCTCAATGATAAATACATTCCTGTTAACCTGATACTGAAACAAAGGTGTTTGTTTTACACACAGCCAGTCTCCCTCTGACTTCAAGGTGACAGTAGAGGAAGTTCCACTGCTTCTATACAAAAAGGAAAGAACACATTTCCTAGCAGTTTTACTGTAAGTTTGCTACTAAGAGTGAAGTACCTCTGAAACTAAAACAAACAAAGCTAAGACTATGAAGTCCCCTTAGCTCTCAGCAGCTTTCAGGTTTAAAAAACAATGTATGCCATTAGCTGACCATTACCCCAGTCCGGTATTTACTGTACATACCTACCTTCAATTTCCCTGGAGAAAGACAGACTTGAAATAAACTCAGCTAAACTGTCTCCATTTCCCTCATTTTAACATGTAAACCATCCCTGAGACATAAGTATTGAAATTCAAACAGAGTATGCAGAATTAAACCCATCAGTGAACTCACAGTTGCCATAGTGACCAAGAGATGAGTTTTGATCTGCTTAGGTTTTGCTATTTGTTTTCAATTACTCGCACTGCAAGTCTGCTAGAATATGGGGCAACATCTTTACCAGCAAAAACGGCGAGAACAGAAGTGTACAGGTATGCTTTTTCACAATGCCTGCAGCACACAAATGCCCAAGCAGAGGAACATTTGTGTGAAAGGATTTGCAGTGCCTTCATATGAACCTCACACACATCTCCTGGCACTTTGCTCTGCCTCTCCATCTTTCCTCTCCTTGTCACTGGCTTTTTGCTTTAGTTGCTCAACCCCAGCACACAAGTGCCTGGCCCACTGCTGTTGATCTTGCCTTGGTTCCCACAAGCACTGTAATCTGCCTTCTCCTAATTCCCTCCAACTAGCAATAAATTTCAGATGCAGTGGACATACATCTGCTACAAAAATTGTTTGGGTTAAGATGGCAGAACAGAAACCCAGCTCTCTCTCCAACCTATTTTATTTGATTTATTAAGCATGCCTGTGAATTGCAAGTCCTGTTCTGCAGCACCCACATTTATCACTGTTTATTCAATGCCTCTAAACTGAAAGAGAACAGATATTAGGAAAAAATTATTTCCCGTATGGGTGGTGAGGCCCTGGCACAGGTTGCCCAGAGAAGCTGTGGCTGCCCCATCCCTGGCAGTGTTCAAGGCCAGGTTGGACAGGGGTTGGAGCAACCGGGTCTAATGGAAGGTGCCCCTGCCCATGGCAGGGGGGTTGGAACTTTAAGGTCCCTTCCAACTCAAGCCATTCTATGATTCTTACAAAGAGCAAAATACAGTTGTCTAGACCTGCTGATGGCCTCAGTGGCCATCCTCCACCATCAAATGCTACTGGTTCTTAAGCTAGGGCCACACAGAGTGTGGGAGAAAGCCCAAATCCAGCAACCACCCAGCTCCCAGCTGAGCTCTGATCTTGAAGATCACCCGTTCTGGAGGGATTTGCCTCACCTTTCTCAGCAGCACCTTCCACACCACACCTCACCAGCTGCTCCTCCCATACAATTACTTGATTTATGGCACACTACAAGTTGTTCTAAGTTGTCACTTCCACGTGGCATCCTCAGCATCAGACAACACTTTAATAAAGCAATTCATTGTAAACCCAGTGTTTTATGAAGGCATTACTAGGAAGAAATCATAAGGAGGCAGGGAAAAGCAGGAGAGGGAGAGACACAACTTGTGCGCCTGCCTATATGACCTAACTGTGGAACTCACACCGTCTTACTGACCCAGAACTGCGTACTGTGGTCCATTGAAGGAGCTGAAAGTGATGGGAAAGGAGAGCAGCAATGGGTTATTTATTCAAGCTTGCTTGAGCTTTCCTGGTTTAGTCACAGGCATCTCCCCGTAACAAGCATCTTCTCCTGCCTTTAAGGATAATTCTATATTATCTGGGTCATCTAATGCCAACAGAACACAAAAACAACTTGATAATTCAATTAACATGCATAAACATTTCTATGCAAGATACCCAGCCTCCTTTTCCATGCTCTTTAATGCAAGACATTTACTTTTTTAAAGGTATTCATGACTCCAATAGCTTCCATGCCTAATTGCACAAACACAAACTCACTTCTAGCAGATTTCAGATGCAGTACACGGACTTGCTGAAATTAGGAAAACTCAGTGTTGTGTATATGCCTGAAATTAAACTGCTTTTCACATCATACTTAGATCAGCAAAGTTAATTTATGGAAAAAACATTAAAAATGTCAAGATATTTTGCTGCTATTTCTTCCTTTAGGCCATTTCATAAACTTTAGCACCCGGCCTTCAACACTTTCCAGGTTCAGCCCAGATTTTGACTAACTAAAAATCAGTTGCTTCAGAGCAGGATTAAGATGCTCTCAAGGCCAGGAAAGCATTTTGCATTTGGATTAGCAAATAAACAGAGAAAAAAAATGGTGTCACCATTTCTCCTGGGGATGGATCATGGTACAAGATCTATGGCAAGGCACATTGTGCAGCCACGGCTTGTTGCTCCCTTTTATGCTCAACAGCCCTGTGAAGCAAGCTAGTTCTTTGGAGGTTGGGGTTCTGATCACAGAAAGCCAAATCGTTAAGTACACACCTCTTTTTAACCTGCAGAGAAAGTTACAGACAGAGTAGACACAAACATTTAATCCCCAGGTATTCTCTCTTATTTGCAGCTGAGGTGCCCTCCCAGAGTGAGCTCTCCACTGTGACACCACCACTATCTGCAGCCAGGGAGGGCTGGATAGCACCAATACATTGAATACATTCTGCCTTCCTTTGAAAACAACAAAGCCTTTTGAATTTCTACGCCAGCGCTACTAAGCTTTATAATGTCCAGACAAATCAAAAGAAATCAACTTCTGTTCTGCTGCTCAGGATCAGCTCTTAAATGAACACAATATCCCCATTTCAGTACCAGATTAAAACCAGCTAACCTGAGCATTTCAGACTCTATCAGTGACAGCTGGATAGAACTTAATTGCAACAGAGAATGCCTTGGGATTTCTAATTTAAAATTTCCTGGAGGGGAAAAAAAAAAAAAAAGGAGAGGAAAAAAAAAAGAGAAGCAGCAGCTTTACTGCACGTTTATTCGGAAACATCAGGTTTAGAATCAGCTCAGAGGTAAGCCTCCCATTCTAACAGAAGCTTAATTTCATAAAAGAATTAAAGGATCCTGTTTGGTAGAGTAGTACAAAGTACTTGAGACAGCCAGATATCTAAATGGAGATGAAAGATTTTGGTAGACTTAATGACTTCGCTGTTGAGCACCACAATGGCTTTGCAGTCAATTACTGCAATTGTGGAATGACTCCTAATGCATTGCTCAGAGGGACTATATAATCCAAGCAGTTTTAATTCTGTCCAATATCATATCTTCTATGAAAATATTTATATATAACCCATTTACATATTTTGACAAAGCACAAGATTAAAAATACCTAGTAACCAGCTCTTCACTGACCACTAGGAGAGCTGCATTGCAATTAGCACCATAAGTGTGACCCATTACCAATTCATTTTCAAGCTTGCTGTTGATGTTCAAAAATAGGTGTGGAGTCCTGCCCTGAAGGGGAACAACCCCATGCCCCAGAACATGCTGGCAGCCAACAGCCTGGAAAGCAGTGGCAGAAAAGGACTTGGATGTCCTGGTAGACCAGGACCAAGTTAAGCATGAGCCAGCTATGCACCCCTGCAGCAAAGACAACTGACAGCCTACTGAGCTTCATTGGGAAGAGTATGCCATCAGGTGGAGGGAGGTCTCCGCTCAGCACTGAGGAGGCACATCTGGAGTGCTGGGTCCAGTTCAGGGCTCGCCAGTAGGAGAGAGACATGGACATATGGGAAAGAGAAAAAAGAGTCCAACAAAAGGCCATGAAGATGACTGAGGGATTGGAGAACTCACATGTATGGAACACCTGAGGGAGGTGGAACTGTTCAGCCTGGATAAGAGAAGCTTCAGGGAGATTTTATCCATACCTGAAGGGAGGGTGCAAAGAAGATGGAGACAGGCTCTTTTCAGTGGTCCGCATTAAAGAGCAAAAAGGCAATGGGCACAAATTGAAATACAATAAATTCCATTTAAACATAAGAACAAGCTTCCTCACTCTGATCAAATACTGAAACAAGTTGTCCAGAGGTACTGGGGGGCATTCCATCCTTGGAGATACTCAAAACTCAACTGGATATGGTCCTGGGCAACTGGCTCTAGGTGACCTTGCTTTGAGCAGAGGCGTTGGACTTGGTGATCTCAGAGGTCCTTCCCACCTCCGCTACTCTGTGAGAACTCTGCTACAGCATGCTCTGATTGCAGGTTAATGCAGGGGCCAATTAGAAGGTTTTGTAAACAACCGCTTCAATTAGCACCTGAATAACTTTTTGTACCTGCCCATATAACACTACCAGAGATGGGAAAAATAAATTCACAGTTGAAAGACAAAATAATTTGTTCTTGTACTGAAATAAATTAGATACACCAGCTTTGAAATGCATTACAGGTTTCTATTTGTGGTGCTCCAGAAACAATTACTAGCCAGTCCATCATAATTAAGAATATGCCCTCACAGTTTGAGATTCACTATTTTTTGCTAAAGACTAGGTTTTACAAACAGATATACACTTCTGCAATTTAAAACAGAGGATGCTGGCAGTGTGCAGGATTTGGGTACAACAAAGCTAGGCTGCAAATTCCAGGTCACTTTACATCACAAGCACGGTCTTGCAGGCAAGAGACCTATTTAATGTTTAGAGAGAAGTCTTCCTTGAAGCTGTATAATTAGCACACCACTAAGTATTTATGCAAAATTCCAAGAAAGCACGTGCATGAATAACATTGTGGAGGTGCATGAGGACAGCATGGAGAGCAACGGAAGCCCTGAGCAAGCACGAGACTTGGCTGAGCCCACACAACCACTGCTTCAGTGGAATTGGCAATCACTCAGTCTATCTTCAAATTAAAGGATTTCATTAAAATGAATATTCCCGACTCATGCCACAGATA